GTATATAGAAAAATACATGTAAATACTCAGCCTTTACAGAGGGTTAGTGTGACTGTGTCAAACGTGTGACTCTCAATGTCCTTGGATCAGGTGTCATTGCAAATAAGCGTTCAATAATTGACCTGTTTGTGTAGTTGTACACTTCCACAACATGTGTGCAGATTGCAGGTCAATTCCTGAAAGCTGTTGTCAGGTGGTCATTGATCTGAGTTGGCGCCTTGTGCACAAGCACAACTGCACGCCTTCGTGCACAGGTAAAAGAACCATGACAAGAATCATGACTTATTTACTTCCTGTCCCACATCATCACTCACCTGGTCCAGTTTTCTCTGTTGTCCTGTCCACTTATCCACCGGTGTTACATCAAACTTTTTTAATTGAATCATCAACCAAACTTGTGGACACTCACGTCAGGTTATCCTCATCCCAGCTTTTTGCTGCCTTTCCCGTGATGGAGACGACTCTCTCCTGCCTCCTGTGCTTTGGGAAACTGATAGCTGATTCATCATCCAGTGATGATTGAATCAGAGATACATTCATTCTCTCACACACTACTGCTCTACAATGTCTCCCTCAGCAGTGAGTGCTAACACACACACACACACACACAAACAAAACCAGCAAACACAGATTGTAATGCAGCACTACACAGTGTCATATATGTTTATTACCTATTTATTTCACTTTAATATTTTCAGTAATGTGAGATCTTACTTTGCACTTACACATGTTTACAGGAAAACGGTAAGAGCAGCCAGTCCTGCCTCCATTATGAGCAGCCTGGTTGCCTACAGCTACTGCTCTACATTTATTTGCAGCACCAAGAGCTCAATGGCCCTCAGGAGCTTTACATGACTCAGGCCAAAGTATATGCACTTTACATATCCACAAAGGCATGTTGTGTGTTACACTGATCAGCTTCAGTTTCAGGGGGAGAGATACTTCATTGTACTGTACAATAAAACACCGAAAATAACATTAGGACAACAAAGACTTTTTGTTGTTTCCTTGTTGGTTTGTTTATCTTTCATTTTCTCTCTCTCTTCCCTTCATTGTGTCTCTTTTTAAGTCTTTCCTTTCTGTGTCCCGCTGTGCTTGCTTGCATTTTTCTTTAATATCTGGTGTTCCTGAGACAAATTGCACTTGGTCGGCTTCTGTAAAAAAAACATAAAGAAAAAAGTCAGATAGTCTGTGTATATAGCAGAGCATGCATTATTCTTTCTAAAAAGTTTGGGGGCAATTATTAATGCAGACAGCCTCACGGTAAACCTCCAGGGGGCCTGATTTTCATCAGGTAATCTTAGTCTTTTTGATTTACTTGTAGTGGTGGCTGAGATCCTTGTGGCCCTATAGGAAGATAGAGTATTGCAATGGTTAATCTGAATAGACATTCACCCTGTTTGTTTTTGTTTTTTCAACAAAGCCAATATTCATTCTGATTTTTCACTTTGCCTCCTCTCCAAATCCTAAACGATATAAAGCCTTTATCAAGTGAAACGTGACTCCACGAACACACCATCATGTGGAGCCTAAATGTTTCCCCTTCCGTTTCATGTATTAATGCATTTAATAATGTATTTATTTATTTATATACTCATTTATTCACTGGCTACAACATAACAGGTTCAATATGCGCAGGGGCGTCGTCTGGGTGCTTGTTTTCAAGTCTCTTTCAACTCCATGTGTGTACCAGTACCAGACCAGGATTGTAGTATTTTTGGATTCACATTCACAAGCAGTATGTTAAAAAAACCCATTATAAGTTCTGTTTAAAGACACTGTGACCCATCAATAGTACAAATAACCTCTGTTGGCAGAGGTTTGGACCTTAGGTCTGGGCTGTCTATTAACCATACTCAAAATATCATTCCAAGGACTGAGTAACGAGACCATGCTCTCTCAGAGACACAACTGTGTCTTTTGTTTAACTCAGTTATTTTGCAGTGTTTATAGAGGAAACCCCATATAAATGTTGTCATTAGGAGTGCAGCAGCTAATCCTGTTGGCACTTTTTTTATTTTATTTTTTTAGCGGAAAAAAATGTTCTATTAACAACCAACAATTTATAGCTTTTTACTGCGAGAATGTGATAAAATGGCATTCCAAAAGGAAGGTCTGAGGTTTGGCCCTCGTCTCCACTGGCCTACTGTACATGCAGATGTTCGCTCCGGCAAGATACGTAGCCTCAAGTTACTCCTTGCGTCCGTGCTAGAATTGTCTGAATAGCAATGCAAGGCATGTGATGGATGAAGTGCCACGAATAGATACGCCGTGTGTGAGTGAATGGGTGAATAGAATGTAGTGTAACTCAGCGCTTTGAGTGGTCATCAAGACTAGAACAGTGCTACAAGTACAGACCATTTACCATATTGACACATTATATTTTGTTTATGGTTGCAGTAGTGGAGTAGTCTCAACCGACAGGATCTATATGTGGAGCAGTTGTAGTAGTACAGCCATTAGAGGAGTTTTACAGCAGTTGGCATCCATCATGTTGGATTATGGCCTTCGTATATTCCAACTGTGATTGGTCACGGGTCACATTTCCCTGGAGCGGAGGACAAAACCAAAGGTCAGATCAGGAGGGTTTATGATCAATACTAGGTTATTCAACAGATGGTTGGAGGACATCAACATGAACAAGATGAAATTTGTGTTACAACCAGGTCTGAGTTAGTCAGGTGTGACTCAGTTTTAAAACTTTTGCTACACGACACTGCAGAAAACTTTGTACGACGCCAACTGCCTGTGTGTAGCTGCGGCGCGCCAGGTTGGCAGTGTGTGTTTCGGAGTTACTGTATGTAAAGGATGGTATTGTTTTTCAGGTAAATGCAGAGTTGCTTTCAAAACTCTTTGTTGCTCTACGGGAATGTTGTATCGGCACTTTGTAAAACTGCCAAGCTGTCGATCTGGCCATCTCTGCTTTAACGTGTTTCCTGTCATAAAGCACCTGAGAAGACGCCCCACTGCATCTCCTCCTTATGGATCTACACACAGTACTTTGAGTTAATTGAGGGTAAAAAGGCAGCCGGATCAGTCAGCGTATTACTCTGTTGATGAATGATCTAAATGCATTGTGTATGGAGGAGTCATTTGAGTGTGTTTTCACAATGTCTCCATTGTGGCGTGAGAACAAACTCCGTTCCTTTCACACACTGCTGCAGTGAGATTGTACAGTAGTAAATATGGAATGACTCCTAAATCCTACGTTAAATGTCTTTCTGTTTGTCTTTAGTCTTGTGTGTGTCTACTTCTGGAAGCTGAGTGCAAACAAAATAAAATCTGTTCTTTATTACACTCACTCTTTGGATGTTTTTACATCATGTGACAGATGAGAAAAAAAAGCTGTTGAATTTTCTTAGACTTCATATAAAAAATAAATAAATAAATTAAAAAAATTAAATTGCTCTGTGTATCAACTCTATGTTCCCTAGGGGGTCCGGCTTCCACGTTGGGAACAACCTCTTTTACTAAACAAATAGGTCTGTGAATAATAAACAGAGGTGTTTCTTATTGTTTTCTTTTGTTTCTGCTCTCGCTCTTCCCTCCTCTCTTCCTGTGCAGAACCTCAGTGTTTACAGTAGCCCTAAAGTCTCGTCTTCTTTCCTACAAATTTCAACAGCTTTTCCAACGTCAGCTCTTAAAGTGCATTTCATGAGCCCAGTTAGAGACCTGCTGATTACATTAGCGATCGTGCTGAAAGGGAGCCACTGTGTGAGACCATAAGAATTGCTCTAGTGTCCAACAAGTGCTCTCTAACTTTGGGCTTTGACATGTAGACCAGCTGGACCAGCAGCTGCCACCTGGCTTATCCTGTCTCGTTGGATTCACATTGTGCACGGAGCGCAGGGTGTTGGTGTGTGCTGGCGTGCAACTCATTCCTGCCTGTGTGTCCCAGCTCTAATTTTATTTCTTGTACACGCCGTTCCCAAACAATTGTTCTCTGAGCAAAGATGTATTGTTACAGGGCTTTGGTTGCTATCGCCGAGCTGCTTTTAAGGTGTCACACACGAGGAGTCGGGAGAGGAGACCAATGAATAACCAGTGTAGTTTCAGTGGGATTCCTAAGAGGAACATGGATAAACATGACCCACTGACACAGATACAGGACAGTCTTACTGTCATATTGAAATAGTTCTCAATCACTTTCACATATATATTGCAGCTGACGCATCAGTTATACAGTAAAGTCTAAATATAAATTCTGAGCAGGTTGTTACATGACTCATTCAAATTAACTTTTATTATGATTAATGCCCCCTCCCCACTTCCCAAAACAAGCAAACGAACAAAAAAACAGGTCATTTATTTCTGGTCTGACTGTTCTTCTGTAGCCTCTTACATCACATTTGTGGAATACACTTTTTCTTTGAAGGCCATAAGATTTGAAATATATTTGAGATTCAGAAAAAAAAACATTTTTTTCTCCTTTCTTTCAAATAGTAACAAAATCACGTGTTCTGTGAGAACTGTACCACTACTTTAACTGCCATCACAGGAGGTACCTATAGGAAGTAGGTACAAATCATGTTCCCTCTCTCTCTGTCTCTCTCTCTGTCTCTCTCTCTGTCTCTCTCTCTGTCTCTCTTTTTGAACTTGATTTACTGAGGTGTATATGAGGATGAAGACGTGTCACGTCCTCCATTTCCAACAGAATAGATGGAGTGTTTATGTGAACGTGAGAGCAGCCTGTGGGTTTGTCACAATTCCTAAGAATTTATCTTTTGTTTAATTCTGCCGTGGTTATAGAACAGAAGTGGCTGTGGTTTGTCTGCTACAGTCGTCCATATAGTGGAAATCCACAGTGCCATTCTGTTGGTGCAAGCAGTTTCTTCTTATAAGAAATACTGTTGTTAGAGGGGGTTTTTTTTTTTTTTTTTTTTTTTTAGCTTTTTTTTTTTTGTTAAAAAAAACGGTAAGTATTCATTTCTCTGGTGTGTGTAGTTTTTTTTTTGGATGTGTTTACTGAGTCTTTGTTTGTGTCTGTGTGTGTCTTTCAGTTTTCTGCTGGTGTTCAGCTGCTTGGTGTTGTCTGTGTTCTCCACCATCCCTGAGCATCAAAAGATGGCCAACCAAGGCCTCTTCATCCTGGTAAAGCTTCGTTCCTCTCCCTCTATCTATTCCGTTTATTTTATTTTTTTCACAATAAACAAAATGCATAAATCCACTAAGAGAAAAGGCCATTTTGACCAAAGTGGTAAATACACATCTAATGTAAAAACAAGTCATTTTCCTGCATCTCAATAAATAATGTATGATTTTATTCACTTTTTTATGACTTGACTTTGGACAGTGCAACAAACTTTTTATGTTGGACCAAAGTTGAGTCGAAACGTTCATCACCCAAACATATATTGTAGATTTTTATTGAGTATTTATTTAAAAATGTCATCAAAAACTTCACAAAAACTCTCAAATGCAACTTGTTTTTCCTATTTTGTCTTTATTTTCATGCCTTCGGTTTGACTGTGGCTCACATTCTGCTGTGCATCTGCATGTGCTTACGTGTGTTGTTATATTTGCTACCGTGCCACGCAGGCAGCGATGTACGCAGGTGGGAGAATTCAGGTGCTGTTGACTGTGCAGTTAAATCATTGACATGATCCACTAACCCTAATAGCTACACCATGATTTCCAGTCTTTCTGCAGTACTATATGTGCTCACATGCTGCACCAGTTAACGGACACTCACTTTTTTTCATCCTTTGACCTGTGCCGTCATCTCCCGCCCTCAGCCCCATCTCCCTCTCTTGTCTTCCCCCTTTCTCAATTTTACTGACTATTTAATGGTTTGATTGACATTGAGAGTCTCTGTGTTGACTTTCAGTCGTCTGTCAACCGATCATTAGCGGACGATCATTACTGGACTTTACTTACACAGCCATTGGCTATAACAACATTCACTGCACCTTAAATTGTCGGCTCAGTGGAGGAAACTCAATTTGATAAGGACAGGAAATGTGTTGTGTTGATAGTTGTTGGCTGTTGTTGTGAAATATTTATTTGATTTATTTCTTCTTGATGGTTCAATATAATTATTTTGAACCTCATGTCAGTCATGTGAACCTGTTTCTGTTATATATTTTTTTAATAAATAAATAAAGAGATTTTAAGAATCACACCCAGGCAGTAAATGTGTGTGTATGTAATGTGACCTTGCTTATTCTGCACAATATATTGTCCATGTAAGCGTTCTATAATTTTATCCTTCACTACAGTGATTTATGATGACTGGTAAAGGTATTTACTCTCATGTCTCTGACCTGTTTCTCCTTCTTCTTCCTCTGTCTCTGTGTTGGCCTGTGCGTGTGTGTGTTTGTGTTGAAAGGAGTTTGTCATGATTATTGTTTTTGGTTTCGAGTACTTCATCAGGATCTGGGCAGCGGGCTGCTGCTGTCGATATCGTGGATGGCAGGGACGGCTGAGATTTGCCAGAAAACCGTTCTGTGTCATAGGTTAGTTGTTATGTTCTAGTTTATTTAATTAACATTTGTTCGATACACACATCGACAATTGCACACACTGCAGGAAAGATTTTTTTATTTTACCAAAACAGTTCAATCTTCAAATACCCTCCCAATGTCCAGCAATCCAAAGTTGCTTTAATGAATCTAATGAATCTAGACAATCTTATAAGTGTAGACAGGTTAGTTGGTTGACAGCTGTCATTGTTGTTATTATTATTATCATAAATGACAGTAGCTGTAGTGTGTTATCCATCCTCCCCATGACAAATATCACCTCACCTCTTCTTCCTCTCCTCTCTGTGTCCCCCCCCCAGACTTCATTGTGTTTATTGCGTCTTTGGCAGTCATGGCTGCAGGCACACAGGGCAACATCTTCGCCACCTCCGCCCTGCGGAGCATGCGCTTCCTGCAGATCTTACGTATGGTTCGCATGGACCGGCGAGGAGGCACCTGGAAACTACTGGGCTCCGTGGTTTATGCTCACAGCAAGGTGGGAACAAGGGCTTGTTGTGTAAAAAAAGTCACATTCTCTGGTTTATATATGGGCTTGCTTTTACATTTATTAATTAGTTGCCAACGGCAGTGCTTTCATAGGTTGTGCAGGTTGTTTTGCACCTGGAAGGTCACAGGTTCGATACCAGTTTGTGCTGGTGTGCTTGCAAAAAAGTGTCCCTGGACTGGACACTTAGTCCGAAGTTGCTGGTCTGCTCCAACCAGCTGCAGAACCTCTGAGGAAGAGGGGAGCTGAGTGAAAGTTGAACGCTGGTCAAGAACTTTTAAGAATGAATAAATAATATTAATGATAATAAAAAAGTCTGAATCGATCATTTTCATTGTTAGAAATGGCCAGCTTATACTTAATGAATTTTATTTTTTATTGCGGTGTAACATACATACATTAAATCTCTTCCCATTATTCTAACCACTCCGGTTTTGTCCCTCTGCCCTGAACCATGTAGTATTACTGTGAGTATAACTGATATTTTGCCTCTATAAGAGGCCTTGAGGTGGTCTTGTAAACTGTCATTGACTGCTGGCATTGATCCTGGGCCTCTGAAGAATTTCTGAATGCTAACAGAAAAATGGTTGAAGAAACCTTTTGAGACGATTGATGAGTGAGATGTTGCTGTCAGATAGCCAGCTGTTGTGCTAACTGCTAACGCAACAGCAGGTCACAGTTCACAGACAATGATGATGAGGAGGAGGATGATGATGATGATGATGATGATGATGATGATGATGATGATGATGATGATGATGATGATGATGATGAAGTGAAGCGTCGGCTGTCTAAGCAGAACTCTGCCTGATGTGATGATGATGGGGAATATAACCATTAAAAATAATAGGTGCGGGTAATGACAGGAGGGATTTAGGATGATGGTGTATGATGATGCTGTGGCTGCTTTTAGGCTGACAGGTCTGATTGATACTTTGTTTTTACCTTCACTCCCCCAGGAGTTGATTACTGCCTGGTACATCGGTTTCCTGGTCCTGATCTTTGCCTCCTTCCTGGTCTACCTGGCAGAGAAAGACAGCAACTCAGATTTCAACACCTATGCAGACTCCCTCTGGTGGGGGACTGTGAGTATTGCATATATGGGATGTACTATCTAGTTCATCCTCATTATTTTGTACATGTAATGACTAGATTCATGAGTATGTGCACATTTCCTTCCAGATTACTCTCACTACTATTGGCTATGGTGACAAGACTCCTCGTACGTGGCAGGGACGTCTCCTGGCTGCAACCTTTGCTCTTCTGGGAGTCTCATTTTTTGCTCTACCTGCTGTGGGTATTTTAATTTTTTAAATGTCTATGCACTGCTGTCTAAGTTGCCCTAAATTGATTTCTTTTTTTCCCCTCAGGGAATCCTAGGCTCAGGTTTTGCTTTGAAAGTTCAGGAGCAACACCGACAGAAGCACTTTGAGAAAAGGAGGATGCCTGCTGCCAACCTCATCCAGGTAATTCATCAACAACCTTCACCCCATCATTCAGACTTGAATAATCTGTCCGATCTGGTGTCAGTTAAATTACATGATGGTTGTGTTTTGTCTTTCTCTTTGGTAGGCAGCGTGGCGTCTCTACTCCACAGACGCCAAACACTCCTATCTTACAGCCACGTGGTACTTCTACGACAGCATGCTGCCTTCCTTCAGGTAGGAATGCTCTTCATTACTGTTAATTTGCCACAATTAATGAATCCAACGCTCTGGAATCAGGAGTTGACTTTGGTGTAACGCAGACAGATTATTTTAGATTGTCTCAGCAGAACGAATTCCAGTGAGAACTCCTTTAAAAACAGACCACAGATCAAACCTGCTGTCACCCCTGAGCCACCACTCGTCTTTTTGTTTTTTAGTTTCCTTCTGAGAAATCAGTAGCGATTATTCTTTTATTTCTTCTCTAATTTAATTTCAATTTAGTTTCTTGTCACTTTTATTCTTTGCCCTGATTTCTCATATTTTGCCTTTGTATATTAATTTGACTAATTTTGATTTGCTTAAAAGGAGAGGAACAAGAGAAAACAAAAGAAATCATCTTTTTCATATTATTTGAAGACAATGTCTTTATTTGTGTTTTTTAGTTTACTTTAATATAAAGTTCAGCAACTTTGTATTTCTCTCGGGTTTGCCTCTTCTTTTGAGTGTTTGGACCATTCGTTTGGCCTTTTTGTGTGTTGTCCATCTTTGGTTGTTTTTGTTTCTGTTGATTTCTTGTTTTTTGGTTTATTTGTGCACGTGTGGTGTCAGAGAACTGACTCTGCTGTTCAGTCACCTCCAGCGACAGCGTAACCACAAGAAGGTTCTCCAAAACTCCCACCACACGCTGCTGTCTGGGCTGCGGCCCTACAGCTCCCCCTACCTGTCAGGGGACAGGTATGGACCACTCGCAGCCTCGCAGCACATCCATCCAGATAGGTGGCAAAGAGCAAAGTCATACTCACACACAACAGGGACTTGTTTTTACACACACAAAGTAAACCCCCCCGCCCCCCAACCCCCAGGCTGACTGCTTCTGGAGCTTTTTGCATGGACCTGTTGTGTGTGTTTAACAGTATCTCACTAACATCTTATCTGAGACCACTGTGTTACAGGATCCCCCCCACCCACCTCCAGCTTCCTGCTTCTTTGTCCGCTTCGCTCATGCCCTCGCCAACGCCACTACCTCCCATCATCACTCAACAATTTCCTCTTCCTGTCTTCCCCCCTTCTTTTCTTTTTATATCCATTGTGTCTTTTCTATGCCATCCGTCCTTCATCCTCCACCTGTTCTCAGGAAGGCAGAAGTTCCATGCAGGTTTGTTCTACATGAGCTGTGCTTGTTGTTTTCAGGATATTTGTTTTCAGTATGAATTTCCTGTATCCCTGTACCTACAGTTTATATAAATCCCAAACAATCATGGAAAGCAATTCTGCTTTGGTAAATGTTTTTTTGTTTTTTTTGTTTTTTAAATTGGACCTCTGCATGTTTTAGACAAAGAGGTACTTTGGTGTATTTGATTTACTGGTTCTGCTGATGTCCCTGATTTGAGGCGTGAGCTGCTCTCACTCCATGATGTCTGATGGGAAAAAGTGATGGATATACTCAGATGAAACTTTACCTGCTGCCATGGCATGGTCCACCCCCCACCTCTAATCCAACCCCACTCTGCATTTCTCACAAAGTGTGTCTCCATAATCCAAAAATGCCTCTTGAAAGTACAGAATATTCACCAGGGGCAGGAGTTGGTACAGTTAGTAAATATTGCATAAAACTAAATCTGTGATTTGGTAATGAGGCAGATTTTTTAAACATTTTCAGGCAGTAGGACAAATGAACTGCATTACAGACATTACAGAGTTTCTCTGTCTGTTTTATACATTAAATTATATAATAAAATATTTTGTCTCATGCACTCTTAATTACACTTTTTAGTTTTAAGTTAAAGATTGTTACTACTGTAGTGGTTGCTGCAACAAACAATGGCAAAAATTAAATGTTTGCCATAGTCGAGTATTAACTCCTCTGGAAAGTGCTTGATTAGCACAGATATAATAAACTAGAGGCTGTTTGGAATATAGAGACGTCACCTCACCACCGGTTTTTACACTTTTTTTCCTCTCGGGGTCAACACGTACCAAGGTTGTGTCCCAGAACTTCCCTTTCTACCTTACGCCCCTCCTGCCACTCCTCTCTTCCCGTCACCCTCACCCGTCTCCCTCTGCCTTGTGTGTCTCCCCAGTCAACTCCTTTCTAAAAAGCGGGGTCTCTTCAGGATTCACGCTGGCCGCAAGCAGAGGTATCCACGGCAATGAGCACGGGGCACGCTGAATCGTCACAGATCAATAACACCCCCTCGACCCTCCCTCCCCTCCCATGATGCACATTACGCTTCTCAATTTGCTTGAGACTCTCAAACCTTTGTGGGCCTGTGCAGTGGCTCAACAAATATTCAACAACATATTTATAACTAAATAAATGAAGATAGTTAAGGTAAAGCCATTGACTTTGTTAGCCACTACACTCAAGTCCACAAATGCTTGAGTAAATGTTTTGTTTTGTTTCTATTAGAGGATGTTTTTCTTAGTCTTTTTTGAGAGCTGAAGAATCCAGGGCTGAATTAGGTTGCTTTGGCTTGAAAGTCATTATAGATGTGTAGAAAATATGACAGACTGCTCACGGCTGTTACCTATAAATGACTTACATGCCTGTTACTTTTTTTTTTATCAAAACATCTCAAAAATAAGCAGTGACCTTTCAAAGACTGAATGATTCAGAGTGCTGTTATGGCCACGAGTCACGTGGGACCTTTCTGTCCACTCAGTACGTTTGTGCTCATAAAGGATTCACAGAGCACTGCCTCTGTTTGCATGCGATACTCTTTCAATGATTTGGAAAGAGTAAAGTTGAGCTGCAGAATGCATCCAAATCATTTACTTCCTTCTTTCTGCAGCATGCCGGGGTGTTTTCACCCTCCCCTTTCCTCCCATTCCACCTGAAACATTTCAGCCTGCTCATATGAAATGGTGTTTTCTGCTAACATCCTCTAACTATTTAAATTTTAATTTAAATGGCCTGCTGTAACACATGCACAACAACGAGTATATCATCGTGAACATGAAGGTCTGACCGACTGCGCTGAAATTGCTCTGTGGTGCATGACGTTTGCGTTTCCTCATGGATCTGTGACAGTGTCTAACATGTAAGTGGCTGTGGAGAAGGAGTGGTCTCCAGAGCATGCTTTAACAGCATGTTTTGAAAATGTGGGAGAGAGGGTTTTTCCTACAGTAAATATATGTGGTCCTACCTATCAACCTGTCATGGTTGTACTGTAAGTCTAAAGAGTACTGTCAGTGAGGTACCTTTGTATGACTGCTCTCTGAAGCCACTTTCCTGACGCCTATCCACCTGGTAGAAAGATTTAGGGAAGTGTATCTTGGTACAACGGTCGGCTGAATGTCAGCCCAGTCTTGAATGCTACGACAGGAACATTAAATAAGGACAGGACAGAAGCAGGTTGACATCAGAGAGAGTGCCCGCTCCCTCTGTTATACACTAAGGCTGCTCTTCATGGAGACATAATCAAGATGTCTGTTTGTGTCATTGTTTTGTTTCGTCTGTTGTTCCATAAGTCTTCGTGAAGACTGTTGTAAACAAAGGACATATTCTGTGGTGTAACATCCCTTCTGCTAAAACCTCTTTTTTAACAAGCTCAGGCTGCCTCTCCGCTGCACTCCCCTAACACACAGGATAACACAGCTTAGTTTTTCATGAAGGCCAAAGGCACTGACAATGTGAAAGCTGAAAAAAAATGACTAGCGTGATCAGCAAAGTGAAACTGCTCTTACAGATGTTTGACTATTTTTCACTGTCAGTGGTAAAATGGGCTTCCGGGATCGAATCAGGATGAACAATTCCAGATCTTCCCAAATCAGTCGGAACAAGGCTTCACCACTGCCGCACGGTTCTGGAGTACGACTTTCTCCCAGCTCAGATAATGTCCCAGAAGCCACTAGTCCAGGGAAGGTCCAGAAGAGCTGGAGCTTCAATGATCGTACACGCTTTCGAACCTCACTTCGCCTCAAACCTCGGCCTCCTGCTGATGGTAAGCAACACACACTGATATGTAAACTTAATTTATGCTTACAGAAGTGTTTACTACAGGCTGACCTTGTCATTCTTACGCCGACATGCAGAGGGGCTCGGTGAGGACTGCATGGAAGACAAACCATATTGTGACGTGGCCATGGATGAGGTCATACCAGCTGTGAAGACACTTATACGAGCTGTCAGGTGAGTTTTGTTGTTAGTCGCTAGCAGCTAGCCTGGTATGGTAACTTGTTCAATGTAACGTTCAGTGTAAATACTGTATATCTCAGCCTTAGCATGAAACAGTGGTGTATTATTGAAGTATTTCTGTACAGTTGACCATTAATGGGCCTTGCAGCAAGAGCAGCACTGACCTTCTCCACTCTGTGTGTGGGTTTTCTCCAGTTAAACTAGTTTAACCTCATCATCCAAACCCCTGCATATTGGAGTGTTTTGGTTTTATTTGACTCCATATTGACCACGGGTAAGAGTATGAGTGTCGTTTGTTTCTAAATCTAGCCCTGTAATCAACTGCTGAACAGTCTAGGGTGAACCCCACTTGGCTCTAGCTCCTGCGTGACCCTGAAAAGGATTAAGCTGTAGAAGACGATAGGGGGTTCATATTATTCTAATCCCTAATATCACCTAAATATCCCTCTCAATATCACCTAACAGTTTAACTGTATTCAAAGGTAAAATTCCTAACAATATTTCCATCAGGGCAGTAACAGCCCCTGTACAACTGTCAGCGCAGTTGACAACACTGCGTCGAGTGAAGTTGTTGGTCAACAACAGGAGAAGGTCACATTGCATCACGGACCCTCCCACTCCTCCCCCCTGCGTGTATATTCCGATGGGCACTTCTGCTGGTATTTACAGCCTATATTAAAGGGTGAACATTCTGCTCCTCCATTTAGGTGCTGGCGTGCGCAGCTTCGGCTGACAGAATGGAAAGGTCCACTTAGGAGAGGTAACCGAGCCCTCGTGCAAGCTGGGTTAGTTCCCCCCGTGTGACCTTGTCGCTCTGAAAGCCCAGCTCATTCAGTTATGTGAAAGTGGGAATAATGGGGTTTCCTCTCAGAGAGCACACGCAGACACCGGCGGAGGAAAAAGTGTTTGATCACTGAACATTGAAGGAAGGTAGAAAAGATTCTTGTTAAAAAAAAAGCAAACACATTGTGTGTAATTTTAAGTAAATTAAGGTTTTTACTCTAATAGGTTTGAAATAGTTTCTTTTTTAAAATACTTTTTTCAGTGTGTCAACTGGAGTGTTGACATTTAATTAATATTTGAGATGTTGTTTCTAAGCTGCTGTCAAAAAAATAAAATGAATGGCTTTGATAATTACTCAATACATACAAATAGAGAAACACTAAACCTATAATGGCGTAAATCCTGCACAACATATTTATACATTTTTTCTTTTTTGTCTTCGTCCATTTGCAAGTTGCACATTACGACCAAGCTCTTGCTTGAAAGACTATCAGTGTGATGTTACTACATTACAATGTGGCAGAATGATGCACCAATTCCCTGTTGTACTTAGGGCACCATTATGGCTAAAATCAGCACTGCTGTGTCAGACATTTATCCATTAACCACAGGGTGATTGGTTTAAATCCAGGCTCTCAATGTCTGCGCGTACGCTTGTGTTTATGTTGTTTTCGGTCTGTGATTGCTGAGCGCCGCAAGTTTTTTTTTTTTTTTTGCCTCCTATTGAAGGGACACACGACAAGTGCATTATTAGTGGTGATTTGCAATAATTATATGAATAAAAATGAATAATGAATAAAATGATAAATAAATAAGTAGAGTCTCTGTGGACCAGGTGCTGAGTGAACACGTGAGCAGAGGATTTCAGCTCTTTAAATGCACAGCAGATGGATATTTTGCCTTTCTTGGATGCTGCATGATGTATTATGGTTTCAATTTTTTGCACCACTGATAAGGTATTATATGATCTCTCCTTGGCTTTGCACTTGACTCAGCAGATACTCTGACCTCAGCTGCTCTGTGCCAGAGACAATAGAAGAGAGGGAGTTCCTATAGATGGTGCAGGTGTGTGTAAACAGCAGGTGCTCGGCTGCATTACCTCACACAAAAGCTCACGAGGCATCTTAACAAGGTTCCAGAACTGATGTCAGTGAAATGAAATGAAATATTTTAAAAAAATCACAAGCAGTGAGATATGATGATAATCAGTCGGATGATGCCTGATTCCTGTTTCCAGAGAGGAGCTGGGTAAAAACACAGCACCTTTTCGCGTGCAAAAAAATCCAATAGTGCACGAAAAAACAAAAATCCCGCCTGTTTGCAAACTCAGGTGAAGTGCCTACTTTGTTAAATAAATAGTTTGGGCATGCTTACTATTAATAACCATTTGATCTTTTGTCATCATCATCAGTTTTTCCCGCGTTTCAGCTGTAATATTTTTAAACTCATACAGTGATTACGCAGTATATTTCTGTGTGGGGATGATGGAATACGCACACTGCAGCTTGTGCATTCACATTTGTTCACCTAACTGGTTGCTAGTCCCTGCAGTGGCTCACACTACTTGGCCCACCTAGCATATGTGTCAGCATTACAGTCATTTTTAAGCCACTGATAAAATCCTGGCCTTTTGAGACTCTCAAGGATCCACCTCTGCTGAACTGCAAAAAATACTCTCTACTGCTCTGGGCCCAGATGACACTTCCTGTCACCTCAACACTCCCTTTGTTTTTATGTTCCAGCCTCCTAACCTTAGAAAGGTATCATATTTATAGTGAGCAGAGCCAGCTGTGCGTCACAGCTGCCACCCACTGTAACAGTTTCGATTTTTTAGTGGGGTTAAGGGCTGCAGTTGGAACACATGAGACACTTCTGTGCCCAAGTCAGCATTTTGAAAAAGTGCTTAGAGGACCCAAATCAAAAGCCCCCCTTTCACCATCACCAGCAGCACCCAGCCTTTTCCTTTACCTGCACCTGAGACCCACCCTGGCAAAAAAAAAATCTGCATCTACCTGCAAAATAAGTAGAGACCGCCTACAAAATACCTGAAGTGCAGGAATCATCAGGAAACCAGAGTGCTGTGTTAGGGGAAGAGTGCGCTGACGGCTGCTACGGCCCCAGCTGTAGACCGCTGCTCCTCCTCCTGCTCCTCCTGTTCCTCCTCTTCTCTTTGTTGCTGCACTGGCCACATCGCAAATCTCTGTATGTGGCTGTGATAAATGCAAGCGCTGCAGGCCTGCGGACAAAGGTTACAGCAGTTATTTCAGAAAATGACCCCTGTCACAAGGTCAGGTTTCACCTGGTGTTGCTTAGCTGGCGCGTGTTGGTGTTAGCTGTTAATGTGAGTGAGACACGCTGCGTTTGCGGCATTTTGTTGTTGTGTTTGTGCATCTGTTGCACGTGTGTTTGTGATACTTTCTCATTCTGTCACATGCTTCACCTTTGGTGTGATTCTTTCTCATATTCCCTCAAAGGCCAGTGAGAGAACTGTGGTAGACTGAGGTAAATAACATTCCTAAATATGATAAAAATTGCAGTGAGATTCTCTGCTCTTTATAAAAGCATTTCGGAAATACTTTAAAAGGAGGACATTTTTTAGGTGACCATGGATATTAGGAAGTTAGAGAGAATGGAATGACCTTCCCAATGCACATACCTAACTTCACTCCCCTGCTACTATCTCAATGACATCCCTCCCTCCCTCCCTCCCTGAGTCAGGATGTCAGACCAGAGTGGTTCTGGCAAAAGTTGTTTTTGTGGATATGTGTTTAGCAGCCGCAGCTGTGCTCCTTCAACATTCTTTTGCGTGAACACATCACATCCGCAATGTGATATGAGTGGTAATGGTGAGCTGTGTGAACTGGACATGGAAGCAGCTGTGGTCCAGCAGCGGCTCCAACCTGGCTGTCACACTGTGTGTGTGTGTGTATTATTCCTAGGGTAAGTGCTAATTGCTGAAACAGCAAGTAGTGATAAGCAAATGTCTCTGTCATCATCACAATAAATACTCATGGTTTACTGTGGCGGTCGCTGTGCTCTCTTTGTGGAGCTGTTTTTGAATGATAAGGTCCTGCTGACTGTAATTAATCTTGTAATTGTCAGGGTCGTTCCCCTCGGTTGATGGCTGTCCGCCATTTGCACAAAGTTCACTGTATGTCCACGTGGGGAGAAATAACAGTTTTCTTCTTCTTTGTGTGTGTAGGATCTTAAAGTTTCTCGTGGCGAAGAGGAAGTTTAAGGAGACGCTGCGTCCATACGATGTGAAGGACGTCATAGAACAGTACTCAGCAGGACACCTGGACATGCTGGGCCGGATCAAGAGTCTACAGTCGCGGTATGTTGAAATTTGAATGATAAAAGAAAGATAAAAGAATTATCTACATTTTGGGAGTAACCCCAGTGGTCTAAGTGTACAGCAACAAAGGTAAGGGAATACGTAAGGTTTACACAGAGAAACTACAGTATGTCTGTCACTGTCTCTTATTTAATGAATAAAAAAAGATCAGATAGAAAGCACATATCTTCCTGAAAGTATTTTAAAAACTTCCAGATCATGCATGAAGTTTTCAAGGTTAGCTGTGGAAAACTTTCCCTGATTCTTTGTGGATTTGTCATATATGGTTCTTCAGCAGCATCGTCAGATAAATGACATGGGCAGAACAGGGAGAAGAGACATTCCCTGTGACTGTATATGGTAAATAAGTGTGTTTGTGTAAAAGGGTGGATCAGATAATTGGACGAGGAGCTGTTCAGCCAGATAAGAAGACCCGTTCAGAAAAAGGAGAGAAGACGCCGCCGGAACTGGATCCACTGGATGAGCTGAGCATGATGGGACGTGTAGTGAAGGTAGAGAAACAGGTAACGGCCACTGATATATGGGTTATTTCTCAGAATACTGATTTATGAGAACATTTGCTTACGCTACTGGAACTTGATTTAATCCGAGGATTAAAGGATTTTTTTCCACAGAAAAACAGATAAATACGTGTGTGCGTGTGTATTCCTATAGGTACAGTCAATAGAAAACAAGCTGGATGTTCTGCTTAACTTCTACTCCCAGTGCCTCAAGAAAGGCTCGTCCCACTTCACCCTCTCCTCCCTCCTGGAACCTGACCTCACATCTGACTACCACAGCCCCACGGACCAAAGAGACCTGTTCCCCTCAGCAACCACACTCAACATCTCCAACTCTAGCACTGGCAACTTGGACTGCCAGTGAGTCCTCAAATGTGGGGCCTCCCTTCACAAAATCCCTTTACAGTAAAACGTCATTTCTTCATCCTGAGCAGCCGACCTCGCTGCCCCCCTCCTCCTCCTGCCTCACCCCTCTCCCACCATATTTCTTATCTCCACCCTCTACCATTTCCTTAATGTTTCCACAGCTGATACAGACTGAAGCCGACGGAGCCTCGGCCTGAGCTGCTCATCGGACTCCCGTGTCAAACCACTACATGAGGATGGAGATGCAAAGAGACATGGACAATGATTACTTGACTACTGAACCACTTTCATCCTCATGCTTTTTGTCTTTACCTACGTTGAAGCTTTTTGGAATGTAGATAATTTGACTTTTGAGATTTTGATTTTTGAAGTCTTTGGGAAAATCTTGACTCTTTTCCCACAACTTTAAGTCTTTTCTTTTTCTTGTGCCTGTTTGAACCATCTGACAGTGGACAGGACCTGGCCAGCCCATGGTGCAGTGCAGATGTCGTTACATCAATTCTTGAAGTTATGGAGAATGTAAGAAGAAAAACATTATTTTATGCCAGCCCTGAGATAAAAGACGGATGGTTTAAATTTTTTTATTTAGCCACTTTGCCAGAGCAACAAACCTCCATCACTCCTTCCTACCCAAACAACAGAGATTTGAATGTGCAAATCCTGGAAGAATGTATTGGACTAACTAAGTGTACTGTATATTGTTTCTTTTTTTTAACCTCCATTCCTTCTCTAAGAAGCTCTGACCTCCAGCAAGCTCACTTGCAAAAAAATATCACATTTGGCTACATTTGGTTCTTTGGAGGATTTATTAGAACCAAAATGTCCTTTCACTGACTGAAAATCCTCAGGTTGCACCGCCTGAAAGGCTGTTGTGGCTCTTTGAATCCTCCAGCGAGGTGACTCTGTCTTTTAAAGCATGCATGCAATAAGTCCTGTAGATAAAACCTTACCATCGATGCCACACTTTCTCCACATCCTTCCTCAGATCAGGGTTTTTACTGAAGCACGCAATTTTACTCCAAAACTTTTCTAATAGTACGATACTTTTCAGGTAATTCAAGGACACATTGTGGACATTTTGAGCGGTCAAACACATTGGAAATCTAGATTCTATCCTTAATGGATTCATACGAAGCAGTCACAGAGAAGACGTGAGCTGCTAGCATCCTGGACGTTACTGTCGATGCCAATCTGCTGAAACTTCAGCTTTTTTGTATTATGCACAATCAGTGCTCATGGGTGTAACTGGAGATCACAGACACAGATGGCAGACCACGCCCCCTTTAGGGCAGTCAGGTAGTGTGGCTGTGGGACATCAATTTGCAAAACACATTCACATGTACTGTATGTACACACACCATGGCGAATACAGTGATCACAATATGATTAGAACATTTCTATGTAGTAACACCTTTTTTTCCTCGTAGAATTTGCGTCATCACAGGAGTCGTCATCATGTCCATGCACTCTATTTTTCTAGTAACTGAAATAATCCAAATTTCTTCTTTGTTTTCAAGTGTTATGATATTTTTGGGGAGATTTGGGGAGTTTCTTGAAGTAATAGTTAAATTCTAGATAAAAAACTTGACCCTGTACACAGTAGATCAGGTACTGATGCACAAATGCTTGCACGCACAAACACAGAAAGACAGGACAGACAGATGGACAATGAAAGACATACGTGATGGACAGAGAGATGGCTAGACAGAGAGGGAGGCAAAGGCATGATTTTGTATATGTATGTATATACATACATATATATATATATATACATACGTGCATAGACATATACACATATGTATGTGTATTCGTACACTGCATTGACTTCCATTCATTTAGGCAGCCTAACTAACAGTCTAACACCCAAACTAACTAACCTTTAGCCGTAGTTAGCTGACGCCTACATCTTTACTCCATGTTTCACTTTAGCCTCAGAAAGAAGGTTCTACCTCTGGAGAGCCAGGTACTGGTCCTCACATGTACCACTGTTCACCTAAAGAACAGCGATTACACAAAAAGGCCCTTAGAATATAAGTACACACACATACAGTTAAGATGTGGTCAGGGTAACTGCTGCCAGCCTTTATCTAAGGAAACGATGCTGTTCCATTCGCTCTGTTCCTGGGAGTGTGTTATCATTTTTGTGGTTCAGATTAGCCATTTGACTCAGGTGCTCTATTTCTCCACTCCGTCTGGTCCTTAACTCCATTCAGTCATTGTGCGTCATTGCTCGTTCTAGTAAGGCCAATTTAAAATGGCTTCACACAGTGCTTGCCGTAAGCATCATAAAATATTTGCATCCATTTCAGAACTAAACGCTAGGTACGTAATTTTATTCTTGGCCTAAACTATAAGAGATGTCTCATTCAGGCGGGGAGGATTGTTACAGTAAATCGTGCTCTGGAATGTTGAGCTTTATGAAAATGTATGTGAGACCACTGTATTGCATGTTGTAGTTAGAGGTGGCCCCCATTGTTAGAGAGAGTGACAAAAAAGGCGAATGTGAAGTATTGGGTCAAGACATGAAAGGGAGTGACGAATGTGAAGTATTGGGTCAAGACATGAGTGAGTCGTGCCTTCTGTGTCCTCGCTCTGTCACTGACACGGTGCAGCTGTTTCACACTCGCTGCTCAGAAGACGTTGGTTTCACTGAGATGCCATCTTCACCAGTGTTAACAAAAATTGCTCAAACTTGCAATGGAAACTACAGAGTACTTTATGTCAACTTCAATATTTTGTGGAAAAAGAAAACCTTACTGTATACTTAGCATATCATTGTAACATTGCCAGGACCACCTTGCATTGACATCCTCACTGTACATTAACACCTGTCAGAGCTGCAGGCTGGAGGCATGGAAATTTGTATCAGCACCGGAAACGCTGCAGGCATGTCTCCTCTCCTAAGCATGTCAAATTAGATCAGAATGGCTTCCACACAACTACCTCTGAGGCCACTAGGGGGCACTAGTCTAGGAAACCAAGTATGAGAAACAGTAACTCGATTGTCTAAATGACTGAAATCTATGCATGACTCAATCTGCACGTTCTCGTTTCACTCTGTTCTTCCTCATGACGTCATTTCCATCCATTGTTGACTGACTTGCTGCCATTTGACATTCCAGCTCGTTGCCCTTTAACTGCTCTCTTAGGTTTTTGGAGCTTTCGTTTAAAAGAAAAAAAAATAATCACAAACTGATCAAAGCAATAAGAAAAAAAAAGCTAACTCAACTAAGTCTTCCAATTCCAAACGGACATAGCTGCTGGTTGATGACACATGACGCTGTTCTTATTTTCTCATTAAATTCACTCCTCTATTTGATCTTTTAAAGAGATACAACAGTGTGTATCTGCTGCGGATTAAAGTAGCTCACATGACTAACTTATTAATTTATTTGTTTCAATAAAGCTCTTTGACTGTACGTTGACCTCTTTCCTCTTTCCTTTAATGTGACTTGAAACCAGCTTGGTTGGTTTGTTTTTTACAGTCACAGTGGAACATCTCCTACACTGTAGACATGACAGAACAAAGTCACGTGGCGTTTGAAGGGGTCGATGATCAAGTAGGCAAAAGTCTGCTCCTCGTCCTCGTCTCCTGGAAAACATTGTCCAAATTCACCCTGAGAGACAAAAACAAATCTTTGTTGATGCTGATATTTAAAAATGAAAGATAGTACTTGATGGTAACAGGATGTTTTGAAACAAAGTTGTGGAAGCATTATTCATCATGTCTCCACAAGTGGTAGTAATGAGCAGTAATGGGTTAAAAAGTATCTTACGTTGGCCCTGACTTTGAGAACTGTGGAGACGACGCTGATCTGCTCCGTCTCTGGATCTTTCTGAACGCTGCACAAAACATGGGTGCAGTTCAGTTCAATGTTTAACACCAGGGGTTGTTAATGAGCATCTTCTTAATCAATGCCAGGACATTGAATTAGGGTGAGTGACCTCTAAATAAATATTTTTATATAACATATAAAATGAAACTGAACTGTTTGTATTCTGAATTTTATTTTACAGAACTCAATGGTTGAGAAGCATAATTTCAGCTAAGAGCGGACCAGATCCTTCTCACCTAATCAGGTCTTTGTAGACCTGCTTGGTGGTCTTGATGTAAGGATCGATGGTGTCTTCATACTGACAGAGTTCTCCTCCCAGACACAGGTGTTTGAAGAGGCAAAACAGAAACTCCTGTCGCTCCTGTCTCCCCACCACGTAGTAGTGCTCCGTGTCCTCCTCCTGCAGCATCTGAACACAACCTTACAGTGAACCTTACGTCAGGACAAGATCGATTTAGACAAGATGAGGGTCAAAGGTTAAAATCTCCACCTGTTTGAGTTCGTCATAATCAGGATGGACATCGTGAAAGCATTTGACCACATGACCAGTGGGCCTCACGATGCCACAAGAGTAGATGGGGTCAAAGAGCTCCATGGAGACCTTGGTGCACGGCACCTCCTCCACACTGACACACACAACCGTCTCGTCTAGAACACACACACACACACACACAGAGTATAAGAGAAACAAAATTCCAACTGTCCAGCTTTTGACCTCTATTTCCTATGATCAGTGATGAAAGACATTCTGGGGGACGTTACATACCAAGAGGCACCCAGGCCCCGGCCTCCAGCCTTTTCAGACTGGAAAAAACGCCAGGGTCTGTGAAGAAACACTGCAGGTACAGAGGGACATGAGACACATTCAGACAGGGTTAAACACATGATTCATTTGATTCAGACTGACAACGTTTCTGTCCCAGTGGTGGATCAAGGATTTTCTGTGTAAGGGGCCACAATACCCCTGTGGGCCCCTAGATGGCCTTCTCCCTGATGTGTTTGACTTGGGCTGAATTATTACACCTGCGTCTCTGCTTCTCTGTTCGTCTGTCTTGTCTTCTTATTTTCATACAGATAACTTCTAATGTGGAATTGATGCATCACCTGTAAGTACTTTGCTTCACTGCTGTAATATTTTTTATTATATAGCTTTTATATATATAGTATTACACATCACATTAATACCACACACCAAACACACTGTTCTACGCTGAACTACAGTGATGAAGTCACTATATGCTGTACTTCTGTATTATCAGACCAAGCAGTGGAGTCAGCAACTAGAAACGTCTCACCATGGCAAACTTTTCAATGTTGTAAGGGTAGAAGCTCTGGTCAAAGCTGTAAGACTGAGCTGAAATCCTTCCCAGCATGGACCTGAAATACACACACACACGTCCAGCCCATAATGACCAGTTAGCGTACATGTATCCTGGCCCATGTTGGCTAAAATAAGATGGTTTTCACTGATATAACTTATTAAGTCAAACAATATATCTATATCTATATATATATATATATATATTTACCATTTCATAAACAGTTCCAGAGTGTCTTTGTCTTCCAAAAACGAGAACTTCTTGGAAGGCAGAGATCTGAAGGAGAATGTTTTCTCAAAGGTGACTTCCTCTCCTGCCATAACTGCACAGAACTTCCACAACAACTGGTGCCTTAGTTCAAATGTTCCTTAATGTTATGGTGTTGAACCAGTGCCACCTCGTCCTTCTTTATTTTCCTTGGCTTCTCCTTGCAGATATTCTCCCAGATTCTTGGTACTGTGTCCATGACAGACTTTCATCTGATTTGATCAAAGGCAGGTCATTTCTTCTTCGTCCAATTTCTCTATTTCCCACGACAACACAGTAAGTTCTGTTTGTTTCAGTCTCACTGTGGCTGTTTTGTGTTTCCTTGACGACAGACGCAGGAAACACGTCCTGTTCTAAACGCCATCGTTACTCTAGCAGTAATCGTTTGAGCCTCTAGAGGGCGAGCTCTCGCTGTATATTTATATTTTTCCTCAGTGACCCAACGCCATCGTCAACAGGATACCTGTGGTACTGTGTTTTTAATATTTAGGATATTAACTTTTACATATATATGTATATATGCATACATATATATTGCTCTTGTTAGATATGTTGCGGTTGTTTTATCTACAGTTACTAATATTTCAATTTCAACTGCATGTAGCTGCCGACCCAAAACTAATTTTCGTCGGCTCGGTTTTTTATTTTATTTTCTGACAACTATACTAGATTATGGGAAAAAAAGGCGTAGGCGTATTGACATGTACCTACAATGGTCCCTAGATGGGGCCAAATTCTAGGAATCCACACTGGCAGGAAGAAAACCGTGTCTGATTGATGTTTTGACACTTTTGCACAGTGGATGTGACCAGACATGAGTCATGTTATGAAAATAATCGTCATTGGTGGTTAATGTGTGTGCTGTAATTTCACATAATTTGTTCTTATTAGATCCATCACGGTTCAAGGTGTAACGTTGGACAGGAGGAAGGTTGTCAGAACTGAGGAATGCTGGGAGGTGATTACTGTGATTGTATTTTTCTTCACATTTATTAAAAAAGAAGAAGAAAAGAATAATATGTCTGTGAAATGTAACCGTGGTTAATCTTGGCAGCATTAGAACACACTTGATGTCACTTTGACTGTTTCCATTATCATTAAATTAGTGCTGTCAAAGAATTTAAATTTTAATGTCTTGAATCATAGGGAAGCAGTGGATTAATCATAATTATTCATGATTAATCTAAATAAATCCACAACTGTAACCTCTCGTCTCTATATTGCTATATATGGAATTATTAATGTAGAATACAGTAGTCTTTATTGTCCTCGTCATATATTTCAGCCGTTATTATGTTTAAATAATCTAAACCTGTAAAGACAACATGATTGCTATTATCTCCTACTTATCTTTGGAGACCATAAATAGAGACACGGGAACCATTTTCCAACAAAACCTCTGTCACAGCAGATCACTCAGTGTCAGTGCTGAGACTCCTGGCTGATGAGTGCTGATAACTGATCGTGTTTCCATTTCCACTCACTGACCTGCACTTATTCAAGGTTAGTTGCGTCTCCTATTTCCCAAATGTCACTCAAACTAAGTTAAGATATTTAGGATGACTCAATTTCATGGCACCGCTGTCCTTTACAATAAAAGAGCTCTAAGACTGTGTCCTCAGGTCAAACCCTAACCTTTGAAATACTAGGAATCTCAGGTGTGTTTGTAATGTAGATGGTTTTTTTAATACCCAGTGATGAATTGCTTAAATCTAAGTGTATTTTCTGTTACAGGACCTTTAATTATAAGGCTAATGGGACTATGGAATATGGACTTGGCATTATCTCCAAGCAAGAGAAGGGGAGCTCTAGGTCAACAATCATGTACAGTAGTACTATAAAATCTGAATAGATTGACATTCCTCTTTTAATAATCTTTAGCACAAGTAGAAATAGAAAACACCCTCAAAAATAGCCTGTGACATATTCTGGTGCAACCTATGACACTTTTTATGGTAAATGTTTCAGTTAAAATCAAATTGAAATATAAGCTTCTATTTTAGGTTCATATAGTTGTACATCCAACTCCAGATGATCATTAATTTATTTAGATGCTAAGTTATTATACAGTTTTTTTCTTTGTAGTTTCATGAGAACCAACTTTTTAACCTGACTCCCTCTGAGTCCAAGCATCAAAACCACAGATTGTTTGTTGTGTCTTCCTCCAAACACAGTCTCCTTCTCTCTGTTCATGTTTACTAATTTCCCCCTACACCCTTTGATAGTGTATCTAAGATATTCTGGGAATCTCCAAGCCTTGCAGGGACACGCCGAGAACCAGGAGAATCATGAAGAAGGGGAACGAGGGATAAAGATGGAGGTGAAGTAGGCAGGAGCCGTAGGTAGTTGTGACCCTCTACAGATAAGACCCAGACTGATGAGGCTAGGTTTTAAAGTGTTTTTCTTGATTCTATCTGCGCCATGGTCTGCTCATTTTTGGGTCAACTTACTGTGTGTCTGTTAACTGAAAGATACTTGTGCTGTCAAACGCTGATGGGTTGATCAGTATCAATGGGTGTAACAGGGTCAGTGGTATCGTTATAGACAAAGAGCTTTAAAGTCTTCAGAGTTCAGGGGTTACAGCTAAAATACAATTCCACAAACCCCGACCCTGGACTCATTTATGTTACACTTTAAGTCAGACTAGCTGATTGACACAATGACATATTGTCCCTTGAATGAACACTGAGACACTCAGAAGATGAGCAAATAAAACTTAGTAGAGGAAATGAGTCACATGAGCAAAGAAAGTTTGATTAGTCATTGAAATGAAATGTCTTGTAGTTAATGAAGAGGCTGCTAACCCCGGCCGGGCTGATACAAGCAGGAAGGTGAATATTAGTAATACTTTCCGTTGAGATCATGTGACCTTGTGCTTGATGACTGGGCTCGCTCATCTCTTGACATTTGATAACCCCTGCCACTCCTTTTCTTTCTGCTGTTCCTCGACTCTTCCTCAACTGTTTGGCCCAGTTCTGACCCAGTCTCCTTCACAACGGCCCCTTGACACGGAACACAATGATGCTGGTTGATGCATCACAGGCCTCCAGGAATGTAATCATAAGCATTTGCCATGCCGGCTGTAGCCTCAGACAGAAAGTCTCACCCTGTAACACCCGGTATCTACAACCCCCTGCAGCCCACACTTCTTATTGGATTAGTATTGTTTTAATTTTACTCCAATGTGCTTCCTGCTGGTCCCTGACGTCTCAATTGTCTTGTTGTCCTTCAGTACAAACCAATGAAAACAAGGAGTGGGTGGCAAACTTGCTGAATTGTCAGTTGTAAAGAAGAGAGGGGTGGGTAAGGGGGCAGGAACAAAATAACGAGCCAGAGAATGCTCAATATTGGCCTAAAACAACATTGTGAACTTGTTAAAAATTACAAATATAAACACATGTTAGAAGGTTTTCAGTCAGCCATGTCATTCCTGAGGACAGCACAAACAAAGACACCAAAGTGTTGAAAACCAGAAGATGTTTCTCCAGTCTTTCCTCCCTGTGGAGATCAGTGGATCACTTGTGTAACAGTTGAAACGGTGAGACAGGATCTGATGATAAATGCAGAGGACAGAAGAGGAACACAGCTGAAGCTGTTGCTCTTTTGAGCCTCACCAGTGGCTCACAGAAATATGGTCCACTCCAAATCAAACAAAGCTGTTCCTCAACCGTTTACTGTTCCTCAATGTCTTTTTTATTTTTGTGTTTGAAGAAAAGAAGTTTTGAATGTGCTTTCTATAACATTAATGAAAACAAACCTCCCACTGTTGAATTCTGCTCTCAGCAGAATGGCATTGGTTATTATAGGTGATTCATTTTATCTTATTGTTGGTAGACACAGAGCATGTAGCTATTTCTCTCTCCTCTACAGAGGTTGCTTAAAGGGGTTCTTAATTATAAATGTTAAAGGTCCACTTGACTTTGTTCAGTCAGAGCGAGGTCTAGAAAACTGACGTAAAACTCCAGAAGTCCCCAAAACACTGGTCATGTGGTTCCTTCTGGGACTACAATAGTATATTTATCAGTCAACTTTCCTTTTCTTGGTCATGGTCTTTTTCTCACTTCCGAAGGACAAATCTGTGTTATGGTTCCGATGTCTAGCCAATACCTGTTGTATAGAGTGTGTGGATGATGAACCTAGGGGCTCACTAAGAACACTGCCTGTCCTGCATCTCACTTCTTCTTGGGTGTTGTTAGCAGCACAACCACCATACACCTCTAGTGGACCACCACATATTTAACCTTACTATTACATTTTAGAAATAACATTTTAAGATTAAGCAATTTACTTCTCCCCCACATGTAAAGCAGTTTATAAATTCTGTTGTTTTTCTTACCTTAATGTTATGAGACCTTCACAGCAGAGGTTTACGGTTAACAGATTATTGCCCATTAACAGAGATGTGAACCTTCACTTAATGCATGGGTGAATGGGTGAGTGCAGTGATAGCTGACAGATATTGACTGATGGTGTTAAAATGACTATGACCAAGAATAGAGATGGAGAAGGCATTGATGGGGGGTTGGGACTTAGGGACAAGTGGAGATGAGGATCCACCACCTGAGGCCACTTTGTTGTCTCTTTGCTCTTGCTTTGTTTGAAGTGAGAGGATGACATCATCAGCCACAGACAGTCTGTCTGTTGATAACACATTATCTTTCCTTGACATCAAAATACATTTTAAAATAGGTGTTTTGTTTGTTGATATTACACTTAAAGATCTGCTGACTAACACATCCAATCATTTTTTTGTTTTTGCTGGCATACATGTAGCTGGAGGACACAATATAATCAAAGTAACAAGCCTCTGCATGTAAAAGCTGCTTTAACTTATTTTTCTTTTTTCATTAGATGAGGAGACATTTCCAGACTCTGCATTGTTGGCGGTCCTATCTCTACCATAGACCCATCAAGTACCTCAGTCTGCAGGCCTGCCCTCATCTATATCCTGCACTGCCTCCAGGTACTTCTCTGCCACTGCTTACTTCCTCATCCTTCTATGATCTTGAACTAAATACTATAAAAGATTCAGACATAATAATTCATCTTAATTATTAAGATTAATGCCCTAAGCTTGAACATGACCCTGGCTCCATTATTCGTATCCACTAAAGTTGCACAGTAGTGAATATTTCTCCACACCATATTGCTGTCATCGTCTGGATGTTGAAAGTTAGTAGAGCTTTGCTGACAATTACACTTCTAGCAATTCAAGTCTTCTAGACAAATGAATGAGTAATAACCTGTCACTTTCTTAGTCAGCAATAATAAACATAAGAGTCAGTGGTTTCAAAATTAATATGTGTCTGTAGTGACTAGTGGTTGACATTTTAGGGTGTTATTTATATATTTTCTTTTAGGTGAGTTACCGGCTAACTAACCAGCCATTCAATAAACTATTCAGCCAATAAACCAACACATTAAGTAAAATTATCCAAATAACCTAAGAACTAGGATCAATTATTAGTCATCTACCAAACCAAACAAAACCATCTAGTCAAACAAATAACAAACTAAATAGCATTCTTAATGTATCTGTTGTCATTGAAACAGTGTTTTCCAGTTCTCAAGCTCCACAGCAGGTTAAATGTAATGTTACACTTGAGGAATAAAATGTTACAGTTAACAACAGCAACCACACTTCAACCATTCATGGTGTGAAGCCATATCTGGAAAGTGTGTTTTTGTTGTGTTAAATCTAATCCTGTTGGGAATTCGTCAGTCCCAGGTCACTTTTGGCCTTGGTTTTCTGACCGACTGTGAGGCTGGTGCTGCATCTTGGTTATACACAACACTGTGGAACATAAACTAGTGAAAGTTCCTGAACTGGATGAGGACCTGTTATAGTTAACATCAGAATCAGGGTTTTAAACCCACTCATCACTGGCCTGTAGACGGTGCTGTTAGCTTCACATTCTCCACTTCACAAAGCTGTTTTTGTAAGGTTTGTTTTCGGAGATGCGTCCAGTGCACCGAGAAACAAATGTGTTGTGAGGCCACAGCTGCGGACAAGAGAGAACAAACAGTTCACTGAGACTCTGATAGTGTCCAAGGGTCTGTGCTGCTCATCATCACAAGGCGGTGGGTGTTGTTCCACACACCTGCTGCCAGAGAAGCCTCCAGAAATGTTGTTGACACACTCCAGTCACGTGTGCAGCACCATCACGCCCATTAATATCCGCATCACTCGTCCTACGCACTTCTTGGAATTAGGAAATGCCCCAGAGACACGAAGATGGACAAGAGTCCACTCCTCTGTGGGGTCAGGGGAGCTGACCTCCACCCTGACACAGTCCAGCTGGGTTTCCCAGCCTCTCTGTGTAGCATTAGGGCAGAAATGTGATGCAACGATTTAAAGAATGAATTGTTAAAAACCAATGATATGTTTCTTCGAGACAAAATGATCTTTATTCATATATTTGAATTTACAAACATTAGAAAAGTGTGGTTTTGTCCAGTGTGTAACACACACTCACACACTGAGCTTGCCTTGTGTATGTATAGGCTGTATTGTTTCCATGTGTGTCCTCAGCCTCCACAGTTCAGTCTATTTTCGGGAAATGACTTCATAAACAGAAGCAGGGCTGACCTGAGATCTGTTTCCCTTTCCAAAAGTATTTCTTTTTGTTAAAAATTAGTGTCACAGTCAAACATCTGCAGGGGCTTGTTGAGGCCTGAGTCACCACAGGCTGGGTCAGGGCCTACATATGCACATAATTAATGTACACTGGGACATGTGAGTCTTACAACACACCGCCTACAGATCCTGTTAAATGTTGCAGCCATTTGAGGTGATTCAGTTTTCTTATCGTTTCTCAATCTCGAGGATGAATCAGACACTTCCTTGTTTTATAACCTTCTCCTATGATTCAGGGGCATCAGGCCTTTTCAGAGGGTCCTTACACACACACACACACACACACACACATCACGTCTACAGATGTGGACAATCAGGCTGTTGTACATTTACCGTCAGCGAAACATCACAAACATTTTTTGCTGAACATTAATCATTCGCTGCCAGTAGTCGCGTTTAATGGCATTCTTTACACATTAGTATGACTTCACTGGAAGGTAAACAACATACAGTGAAAAGGTTTAAATTGATGGAGTGGGTGTTGACAGTAAAACACCGTAAACACAGCCTGCTGCGCCCTTTTCTTAGGGGGGCTGTGAGAAGATTTGGTATGAAGTGTTGAAGCTGTAATTATAGTGTTGTGTGAAAAGTGAACACGTTACCCAGAACCGTCTCATCTTTGCTCATATTACTGACAGATACTGTCTGAGAGCTTTTCATTTCTGTGCCATAAGTCAGAGGCACTAAATCACGTAGAAGACAGATTAAGGTTGTCAGGGATTTTCCCTCATATCAGGCTTTAAAGGTCAACATCAAATCAAATTTATTGCTGGAGTTGGTTATTGAAGAGAAATGCGTCTACTGAAGAATTAAGGTTGATTTCAACATACTGTAGTACATCATATAGATTGGTACGTAAGAGGACAGATTGTCCAACGTAGGCGGAACAGATTACTTCAAACTGATGTATTTCCAAATCCCATGACAAGTTCTGAAAGTCTTAAAGAAGATTGAGCAAAAGCAAACCAGTTTAAGGAAACAGAGAGAAATGAAGAAACTCATCTGCTGATCTGAACATAAACTCAGCATTAAATATGCATCAAATTAATTTGGTTAAATGTAGTTGTTACTTATCCTATATTTCAAAGACAGAGTACAAGTGAAATTTATCAGTTTATTTAATCATTTTACTCAGATTAAAGGCAGATTTCAGTTCTCTGTTCTGTTTTTAAAGCTATAAATGAGGTTAATTCAGCTTTCACTCAAGTTCAGTTAATTAATGTTGTCTGTTCTTGAGCTGATAATCACCATGAGCTGCAGGTCAAGTCCTGTTAATTCATGGAAATGAAGACTATTCTAATTATAACTTGTATTTTCCCTGCACTTTTGTGTTAGTTGTGATGAGTGTCAGCTGATACTGACCAAAGGTTGCTGCCATGCGTTCTGTAAATGGTCAACCTGCTGCTGTATGTTCAACTCATTCACATTCCTGACGTGTTTGTGCGGTCAATCTTTTATCCTTAGAAAGATTCTCCATCTCTGCTCCCTTCCGTTCCTGTCTGACACTCTGCTGTGTTACAGTTATTGATTCTGCCTTGAGAACATTGATCAACCCAAGCGGGGGATGAGGGGAAGTCAGTGAGGCAGCTGTGTCTTTTGGGACCACCAGGTCAGTCTTTGAATCCCTCTCTTTTAGTTGCTGTATCTTTAAAGGTGGAAAAAAAATCCAAAGAAATTCTGACAAAAGTTGTTATTGATTAAAGTGTGTATGTTTGGATATCTGTTTGGTCCAAGATAAATTAGGTTACAAGGTCAAGACTCTTCATCAGAATCAAAATGAAGATTTTATTTTTTTAAATGATAAAACATATAAATATTCATATTTTAATTGCAGAAAAGATGAGTTAGAGAATTCAGTGAGTAAGATGTTGCAGCTAGAAAGGTTTTAATTTCCTCTGTAATGAAGATGAATTTCACAGAAACAGCTCCAAGAAATAGGCTTGATACAAAACCAAGTCGTAATTAAAAATATGTTTATATTTTACGACTCATAAGTCATTAAACCATGAGCTTAAGACTTGATTTCAATCATAAATATTTTCTTTTTATCTAATAAAATATATAAAAATGAGAACTTTATATAGAATCTTTAATAGAATTGTTATGTTCATAAATCTGAAGTTCAAATCATTAATAAAGATTAAACGTTATTTTTGCCCTCAAAGCTCTGGCACTTTTTATAGTATTAAAATAAATAAATAGTTCTGACTTATCTTTTTTTAACCCCCATAAAATATTACTATATGGTCTTCATCCTTTTCTACAGTAAGCATTATTTCACATTAACAGAACACATTAAAGTCTGATGATTGAAAACATCATTTAAGATTCACGTGTGGCTCATAACATTTGTTCATTTCCAGGAACGGCGAGGGATTCCGCATGTCGTGAAAACAACTCTCTGCCTGTCTGTAGTGAAGTTACGCAACTCCGTGACCACTAGATGGTGAGCAGCAGGTCAGTAGTTCTTAACCGGCGAGGGATTCCGCATGTCGTGAAAAAGCAGAGAGAAAAGCAGTGACTTTAGAGATGTGTGTAAACTACAGCAGTCACAGTCAGATAACAGAGGAACGCTGTGAGGAGACAGTCAACCTGTGGGAGTTACAGGAAGAGAGGAGAGTGAGGAAGGGAGGGAGAGCACACACGCAGGGGACCCAGAGGTGGAGGTGGGGGGGCCAGAGGGGGGAGTGGTTTTCCCTGCCAGTATATAGTGAAGACGGAGTCTGACAGTGGCAGATCCTGTGAGTGAGACAGCAGGGGAGGCTGACTCTACGATTTTGATCTTTATTATTATTTTCAAACCCAAACCTCTTCTTCCACCTGTGAACAACTCCCCTGAGCAGCACAGCAACGAGGCCTTTGTCGGATTACAAAACCTGGATTCTTCTTTCCACTCCTGGTAAAGCAACTCTTTCTCTTTCTTTTTCCCTCCACTCTGTTCACTCCACTGCAGCAGCTCTCCTTTGTGCCAGATTTGAAGCAGGTGCAAACTGAGCACCACAGACTGTTCTGTTCTCATGTTACCTTATAAAAATGTCTTTCTGGAATGGTATAAAACGTTGGTGTAAATCTTAGTTTAAAGAGTAAGATTCCTTTTCTTTCTTTCTTTTTGAAACTTTTGAACTTGAGTTAAAGGTCTAGTCTTTTCCTTGTTTACCTTGTGGGTGTAGGATTGAAAGAAACAAAATTCAAGTTGTTATTAATGGGTTTAGGTAAAGGCCATGAATACGTCTGTGAAGCAGTTGTTTTCTTTTATTATGAAGATGTGACAGCTTTGAGTGAGTGAGTGTCTGCCCCCACACCGGTAATCCCTTTACGCCCCTGTTAAAGCTCCTGCAGGCACGATTAAACACCTGTACAGTATCATAAATGTGGTCCACTCTGTGGGACCTGCGTCTTTAAAAATAGCACAGGACAGATAAAAGTCAAGGACGGTGTCTCACCGAGGGGAATGGAACTGAAAGGGCTTTTGCGCAGATCCGGCGAGCTGAGATTCTTGAATGTTCTGTTGGTGTGGGCGGTGCAGGGATGTCTCAAAGTTAAGCTGAGCAGAGGAAAGTGAAAGAGTGGAGTTCTCTGGGAGATACTGGTCACATGTGTACGAGAAATAAAATGTCAACAAATGGAAAACAAGTCGAGAAACACGTACAGTCGAAATGTTACTGGATAAATTCACCCAGATGATGTCATACCTTAGAGTGATTAAGTCGAATCCTTTGTCTTAGTGTCTCTGCCTGCTTCTAGTGTGTAAGGTGCACAGATTTTGTTTCCTTTTGTGTGTGTGTGTTTCGTGTGTGTGGGTGGCTTGTACATCTGCCCTGTGTGTGGGATCAGTAGCCTGGCTACAGCTGTCAGCAGTAGTGATGGGCCATATGGGCTTCAGACACACCCCAGTTTAATAAATAAGTAAAATATACACAGTATGTATAGTGAACCGTAGTGAATTTTAATATAGGAGTATAAGAGCAGGAGTAACTGTAAATATGTCAAAAAATAAATGTGATGTTGTAAAAAGTGAAAAAACTAGCAAAATGTTCATATCAGAGATTTTCATTAGAATTCCATACATTTGTGATAAAATATATTTTTGCCAATTTTTGTAACTATGTTTAGAAAACACCAAAATGTTATTAAATTGACCACAAAAACGATACCTGAGCCAATGAAATAGACCAATTTACTGTTAAATAGGAGTAAACTGGTGACAGACCACCATCAGCTGTCCCCGTTAAGGTCATCCCTTGGTTTTTACACAGTTTGACCTTAAGGTCTCAGCAGCTTGTTGGGCAGAATGGTGTTTTATTGCACTGCTGCCACAACAAAACACTTGGGGGAGGGGGGGCAGGCCATCCCACAGTGACGCGTGTGTGTATGTGTATACTAAAGGTGCAGTCATGCAGAAAACGACACAGCAAAGACCCTTTCCGGAGCCCTGCTTTGTGGGCAGAATGTCCAATGTGCTCTGAGATCTGATTGGGTAATTAATTATACAATTATAAATGTTTTTGTAAGCAGAGAACCAACCAGATCGGGCAGACTCACTCACACTAATAACTATACTATACTGATAGTTGACCTTTGTCAGGCCCAAGCACACACTGAGTTACATGAGTTGTTACACAGTATATCCACAGGAGGGAGATTAAATAATGTGGTGATCTGAAACAATCAGTGAATGGTATTTAAAATGAACTGTGGCTACAATGCTGATTCATTCTCAGATTAAAATCTAAGTGTTTGGCTC